GCTGTGATCAGAGAGCACCTTAGGGGCACAGAAAAGGGCATACTTCATATTTTCTCTTATATTAAAATTATTCATGGAAAAACTTATGCATGTACATATCCCCTTCAGGATTCTGAGCTTCTTGTATATGCTTCATTTTCACATTTTCCACAGCTCCTGACACAATATCTTGCATATAATAGGCACCTGAATATTTGTGAAATAAAACTTCAGCTGTAAAGGTAGTCATTTCTTCTTTGTCCTTTTTTTTTTTTGAGGCGGAGTCTTGCTCTATCACCCAGGCTGGAGTGCAGTGGCATGATCTCAGGTCACTGTAACCTCTGCCTTCCAGGTTCAAGCAATTCTCCTGCCTCAGCTTCCTGAGTAGCTGGGATTACAGGTGAACACCACCACGCCTGGCTAATTTTTGTATTTTTAGTAGAGAGGGGGTTTCACCGTGTTGGTCAGGCTGGTTTCCAACTCCTGACCTCGTGATCTGCCCGCCTTGGCCTCCCAAAGTGCTGGGATTATAGGCATGAGCCACCATGCCTATACATAGCCTAAACATAGAATTCTTTGTAGTATTAAGAGAGTTAAAAAGAGGAAGGTAGAGTAATGAGTATAGGCTCAGATAATACACAGCACATCTGTTAAAATGGAGAGAAGGAATGGAGGGGATAGAATGAGAAGGGCATATGCAAATATTTTTTTAAATGTCTCAGTAATTATATTGGTGGTGATAGTATCATTAGTATTGTTATTTTGAGACTGCTGGGTATGTGATGTGGGATAAAGGAAATGAGTGGTTATGGGATATTTAAATACTGTTGTCCCTTATGTTCTTGAGAACTAGTATTCTCAGTGTGGAAGAAAGGAAATAAAGATGTAATACAGAAAAGATTAAATTAAAATTCTGTAGTCTTACTTTGGGAGGTTGAGGCAGGCAGATTGCTTGAGTCCAGGAATTTAAGACCAGCCTGGGCAACATGGTGAAACCCTGCCTCCACAGAAAATACACAAATAAGGTGGGCCTGGTGGTGCATAACTATAGTCCCAGCTACTTGGCAGGCTGAGGTGGGAGAATCGCTTAAGCCGGGGAGTTCAAGCCTGCAGTGAGTCATGATTGCACCTCTGCACTCCAGCCTGGGCAACAGAGTGAGACCCTGTCTCAAAAAACAAAACAAAAAACAACCCATAAAACCAAAAACCAAAACCAAACCCAACCTCTGTAGTCTTGACTTTGAAGTGGCAGTATAAATCTATTTCTATCTCTATGGATAGAGATCTCCCTCTAGCTCCATCCACTAATGTGGCTTACAAGTAACAAACAATTCAGTAGCAATAAGCATCCCTAGTGCCCAGATTGTGGTCTTAATAAACAGTTTCCCACAGAAAACAATATTAATTTCTTGAAGAAATGGTTAATTTTTTATGCCTAGGACAGGAAGTACAAGATTAGCCAGGAACTCTTGTCATGCTAGATAGCAGGGAGCTATCAAAAATCTCCGGGGTTATTCAAAAAGACTCAAGAATCAAGTTAAAGAGGAGGCTCCATTGTTATGGTACTGTATTAGTCTGTTCTTGCACTGCTATAAAGAACTACCTGAGACCAGGTAATTTATAAAGAAAAGGGGTTTAATTGACTCACAGTTCTGCAGGCTATACAGGAAGCATGGCTGGGGAAGCCTCAGGAAGCATACAATCGTGGCAGAAGGTGAAGGGGAAGCAAGTACATCAAGACAGAGAGGGCAAAGGGGGAAGTGCTACACACTTTTAAACAACCAGATCTCGTGAGAACTCACTATCATAAGAACAGCAAGGGGGAAGTCTGCCCCATGATCCAATCACCTCCCACCAGGCCCCTCCTCCAACACTGAGGACTACAATTCAACACGAGATGTGGGTGGGGACACAGAGCCAAACCATATCAGGTACCATGAATTTCAACATGAGAAAATACAAGTATATCGTAGAAAATGAGAATCAAGTTTCTTACTGTTGCAGAAGGGAGGTAAAATTATAGAGAAGAGGAAGACTAGAGGAAAATATGTGGTACTGGACCGGAATTTGAGTTACTGGTGTGAACTCTTTATATATATACATTTTACATATACATATATTTCAATATGTGTGTACACATATATGTTCACATATATATAGATCATACATATGTATATATAACATACACATCTATATGCACACATATTTAAATATATTTAATAGAAATATATTCATTTATTTGCTAAGTCTAGTCACTGAGATAGACTGGAAATAATGACATCTCAGTAACAATAAACACACCTAGCAGCCAGACTTGGCTTCTAAATACCATTCATTCTTCACTAAAAGGAACTAAGGCTCTTTGGAGAAATGACTGATATGATAGATGTGAAAATCTATGACATAACTTATGAAAATGGCAGAGAGATAATCAGCCTCTACCCAACTGGAATGGTTGATGAAAGGTGAATGAGATTATAAGTTACATGGTAGTATTGTATTTGTTAATTTCTTGATTTTGCTGGGTTATACTGTGGCTATGGCATAGAATACATCCTTGTTTTCAGGAAATAATGAAATACTTAGGGTAATGTCTGTAATTGGCTCTTAAACGGGTGGAAAAACAAAAGAACAATATGCATAGTGAGAGAGTGAGAGAGAAAGAATAATGAGGTAAATATAAACTATTAACAACTGAGGACTTTGGGTTAAGGGTATGAGGGCATTATTTTGTAATATTTTTGCAACTGTACTGTAAACTTGAAATTATTTCAAAGTAAAAAGTCTCAAGAATATTTGCGCACAAGGGAAATATTCAAGCTAAGTAAAGTATGTAGATTACTAAACAAATGTGCAGTGCAATCTAAATTTTGTTGAATACATATATTTAAAATTCAGTAAAATTATACTTTTAGAAGCATAAAACAAAAGTTAACAATTGTCATCTACTGGTGATAGAACAGCCATGCCCCTCTTAAAGGAAAAAGGCTAGCAGATATCAAGACCTACTCTAAAGTTGTAGAAATCAAGATGTGTGATACTGGCACAATGACAGAAAAATACACCCGTGGCACAGAATAGAGTAAAAAATTGACCCAGACATATATAGTCACCGGATTTATGACAAAGCTGCCACTGAAATTCAGTGGGAAGAAAATTTTTAAATAGTGCTGGATCAACTGTACACCCATATGGAAGAGAAGAATCTTGATGTCTAACTCCTATCATATACAAAGATTAATGTGAAATTAATCATAGACCTAAATGTGAAAGTTAAAATAACACAGAAGAAAAACTAGGGTAATATCTTCACAACGAGGGCAGACAAAGATTTCTTATATAGGACACAAAAGGCACTAACCATCAAAACAAAATATCAGGCTGGGCGTGGTGGCTCCCGCCTGTAATCCCTGCACTTTGGGAGGCCAAGGCGGGTGGATCACCTGAGGTCACGAGTTTGAGACCAGCCTGGACAACGTGGTGAAACCCCGTCTCTACTAAAAATACAAAAATGAGCAGGGCGTGGTGGCAGGTGCCTGTAGTCCCAGCTCCCCGGGAGGCTGAGGCATGAGAATCGCTTGAACCCGGGAGGCAGAGGGTGCAGTGAGCCGAGATCAGCCACTACTGCACTCCAACCCAACCTGGGCGACAGAGTAAGATTCCGTCTCCAAAAAAATTTTTTTTAATGAGATTAAATTATACCATTAAGAGTAAAAAAAAAAAAATCATGAACTGAGGAAAGTATTCATAATATATAATTTTGATAAATTATGGAGCTCAGGTGCAAGTAACTTAGGAAAGGAAGGAGTCTAAAGATCTGGTTAGGAAGGATTACTGAAAGAGGGGGTGTATCTAAAAATGGGTAGGATGGGAAAGGGAGACTTTGGGAACACCCTTGGGTTCCTAATACGCCCACAACATACATGAAGATAAACTCCCTGAAGACAGTGAAAGCCATTTCAAAAACCCCCCACATAACTTATGAGAACAGAGGGGTGATCCGCCTTTAATGTTAGGCCTTCTCAGACCCTGCGATCTGTTTGCTCTCAGTAACATTACCCTGCTCAATTGCTGCCCTAATCCCAGGCCGTACATTGGAATGTGGGAATTCAGCGTTTACATTTGCCCACACAGGATCAGCCTTCAGTTGCTACAATCAACTTCAGTATTTTCATATAATCACTTCTTTCTTTCCTTAGTTCTTGAATTATAAATTCCTTGAGAAGAGTCCAATCAGAGGTAGTCTTTCTTCAGTATTTTTGGCAATCCTAATTTCTGTGCAAAAAAAGTTCTGTTCAATTTTAACCGTGCAGAACTTTCTCAGTTACCTAAAACACAGTTTCTCTATGAGCGTTCAGCGAAAATTCCCCTCCCCAAACTGATTCTATGAATGACTGTTAGATAAGCTTCACCACTGCATGTAGAGAGTGTACCAGGAACCCAAGTTAGTAGCTCTCCTCAAGGACCCAACTTTTGGAGGGCGTCATCGTCCGGTTCCCGGTATGCCCTCCCCAGGTAGGCCCGCCGCAGGAAGTCAGCGGCGAGGAGCACAGAAGAGGCTGCCAGCACCAGCGGACAGCAGTTTTCATCGTGAGGGCCGTGGGAAACCCCTGGGATGTGTCTTAAGGGGCCTCTTGGGAACAGGTCCTTCTGGAGGGAAGGGTCGGAGTGGGAGGGGATTCAGGATCCGCCTTACGGCCGAGTGTCCAGCAGCGCGTTCCAACCTGGCAGAACCGACGTACTTCATAAGCTCCTCAGGGGAGCGCGAGAATCACCAGGCTGAAGAATGACTGGAAATGCGACCCTCTCCAACGAAAGCACCAAGTAGCCCGGGCGCCGGACATTTCAAAGAGCGCGGAAGCCACGCCCTCCCCTAGAACCGGAAGCTTTGCAACTAGGCTGTTTATAAGGAGGCGGGTTCCACAGCGGGAACTACAACTCCCAGAATGCAGCGCGGAATTTCCGGTTTCCGGCTAGAGGGCCAGAGTGAGTGTTTACACCGGCGGCAGTGCGGCCGGGTTCCTTCCGCGGGACGGGTGAGGGCGCTGGGTCCCTGGGCATCGCGGGCTCGATGTGTGTCAGCTAATTAGCTGGTCCCACTGGAGCGGTGAGGTCGCCACTGGATAGTGCCCCTGCCCCATTACTAGCGATCTGTGACCTTGGGCCAGTGACTTTACGGAGTCTTGGTTCCCTCATCCTTAAAATGTGGCTAATGCCTGCCGCAGGGAACCGTTGTGAGGATTAAGTGAGACATGGTATATAAAACGACCTCCTTCTGGCATAAACTTGAGGTGGAAGGTACCTTCAGGATGCTTTAAGGTCTGCTAGGCAGCTTCTCAGCCTTTTCTCTCCTCTTCCCTACCAGAGGTCTCTTTGGAAGCAATAATGATGACTATAACAAGAACTTATCTTGCTTTGCAAGATTCTTCCGCCGTAAGAGTTTCTGATTTATTTTCTGGGGTCCATATATGTCAGGTATGAGGACAAGGATGAGGAAAACTTTAGTCTTTTGTTTCCAAGGGCCTTCAAGAATTGGGGTGGAGGAGGGAGCAGGCAAATATTTGTAGCCCTTTTGTTCTGAGGGGATGTGGGAACAACAGAGGAAAGAGAGGGGACTGAGGTTGTTGAATCTGTGTTGGTTTCGGTAGGAGTTTGCTAAGAGGCCAAAAAGGGAAGAGAAATTACTTGCAGAGTTAGATGAGCAGAGGTGTAAAATAGGGGAGAGCTTTGTTATGAGTGTGTACTTACATGTTGTGGAGGCCCCTGGCAGGGTAGGGCTCTGTTGGGGAAGGAGCCTGGTAGGGAGTTTTGTAAGCCAGGCGATGAAGTTTATACTTAATTTATATAGATGGTTTGGAGGCATTGGAAGATGTCTTTGTGGGGGGGGGGGGGGGGGGAGGGCGGGGACGGAGTCTCTGTCGCCCAAGCTGGAGGGCAGTGGCGCTATCTCGATTCACTGCAACCTGGACTTACTGCAACCTGGACTCACTGCAACCTCCGCCTCCCGGATGCAAGCAGTTCGCCTGCCTCAGCCTCCCAAGTAGCTGAGATTGATTACAAGCGCCTGCCACCACGCCTGGCTAATTTTTTTCTATTATAGTAGAGACGTAGTTTAACCATGTTGGCCAGGCTGGTTTCGAACACCTGATCTTAAGTGATCCGTCCGCCTCGGCCTCCCAAAGTGCTAGGATTACACGTGTGAGCCACCGCCCCTGGCTTGCTTTTTTTTATTTTTATTTATTTATTTTTTGCGACAGAGTCTCATGTCACCCAGGCTGGAGTGCAGTGAAGTGAGATCTTGGCTCACTGCAACCTCAGCCTTCCAAGTAGCTGGGACTACAGGTGTGCACTACTAATGCCCAGCTAATTTTTGTATTTTTAGTAGAGATGAGTTTCACCATGTTGGCCAGGCTCGTCTCAAACGCCTGAGCTCAGGCAATCCGCCTGTCTAGACCTCCCAAAGTGCTAGGATTACAGGCATGAGTCACTGCGCCCAGCCCAACATTGGAAGAGTTCTAAGCAAAGAAGTGACTTGATCAGATCTGTGTTTTAGAATGATAGGTTGTTAGGTGGCAGCACAGATATTTGATAGGGAGAGGCAAGAGTTAGGGAACTTGTTATAAAGCTGTTCTACTGGTTCAAGCAAGAGTTGAAGAAAATTGGGAAAAGGAGCATACAGAAGGGAGAGGGTTAGATGATCTCTTTCATAACATTCCTATTGGGTTGGATGGCGTTTTTATGTCCACATTAGGGATGAAGAAACTGAGGCCTAGAGAGCTGTCCATCACAGTATGAGTAGAGAGAGAACCCCAGATTCTAGTTCTGGCCTCCTGATGGTGCACCCTGTGCTTCTTCAACAGTGTCACATTGAATTGTCTTTTATTCAACCCTTTGGTGGGTGGGGGTGGAGTAGGGTGGTGGTCTGTCTTTTAACCACTGAGGCTTTGTTCTTTTACAGGGAGAAAGAGAGAGCGCGAAAGAGAGAGGATGTCTCTCTCAGACTGGCACTTGGCGGTGAAGCTGGCTGACCAGCCACTTGCTCCAAAGTCTATTCTTCGGTTGCCAGAGACAGAACTGGGAGAATACTCGCTTGGGGGCTATAGTATTTCATTTCTGAAGCAGCTTATTGCTGGCAAACTCCAGGAGTCTGTTCCAGACCCTGAGCTGATTGGTGAGTCTCTCTGGAATGGGGTTGGGCTGCTGCTCTGATCTCTTTTAGGGGAGGATACTTCTGAAATTACAAGAGTAAGTAAAGTAAGGGCTTGGGATTTGTTGCCTCATAATGTTAACACTCCAGGGAAGTGAGTGTTGGGTAAATAGAAACACAAATCATATAATGAAACTACTGGTTGCCATTTTCAGCCATGTATTATACTGAAGTACTTTATCACCAGGTTCTTTATGACATTGTCTTATATTATTTATTTATTTATTTATTATTATTATTTTTTATTTATTTTTTAGACGGAGTCTTGCTCTGTAGCCCAGGCTGGACTGCAGTTTTGCGATTGCGGCTCACTGCAACCTCTGTCTCCCGGGTCCCAGTTCAAGCAATTCTCCTGCCTCAGCCTCCCAAGTAGTTGGGATTACAGACATGTGCCACCATGCCCAGCTAATTTTTATATTTTTAGCAGAGACATGGGGTTTCACCATGTTGGCCAGGCTGGTCTTGAACTCTTGACCTTGTGATCTGCCCGCCTTGGCCTCTCAAACTGCTGGAATTACAGGCATGAGCCACCACTCCTGGCCAACATTGTGAATTCTTTTTCTGAAAGAACAGACGTTTGGGGTGAGTTAGGGAAGGAGAAGTTGGTCAGGGGAGGCTCCTCAGTATATTTGAGGTAGGTCTTAAGGGATGATTAGGAGGATTTGCTTGGTTGATTGGTTAAAAGAAAGGCAGTAAAAAAGAAAATGAAAATGGCGTGAGCAGTCCAGGTGGAGGAGGGAGGAATTTAAATATAATTAAATTATACTGGAAAGGTAATTTATAATAGCTAAAGGATCCAACTGGCAAAAAAGATGTTTTCAGTCATACCTGGATTGAGTTCATCCTATTTTGTTGTTTTTCCATTGATTTAAATTGGGCAGTCTCCACAATGTTAAACTCTAGAGCTTTTCTATGGATAGATTCTATGTGAATCCTCTTTTTTTTTTTTTGAGACGGAGTCTCGCTCTGTGACCCAGGCTGGAGTGCAGTGGCACGATCTCAGCTCATTGTAACCTCTTTCTCCCAGGTTCAGGCAATTTTCCTGCCTCAGCCTCCTGAGTAGCTGGGATTACAGGCGCCTTCCACCATGCCTGGCTAATTTTTGTATTTTTGGTAGAGACGAGGTTTCACTATCTTGGCCAGACTGGCCTCGAACTCCTGACCTCAGGTGATCCACCCACCTCGGCCTCCCAAAGTGCTGGGATTACAGGTGTGAGCCACCGTGCCCGGCCCTAATTTTTGTATTTTTAGTAGAGACAGGGTTTCGCCATGTTGGCCAGGCTCCAAAAGTGCTGGGATTATAGGCGTGAGCCACCATATCTGGCCAGATTCTATGTAAGTCCATTTTATGAGTTTATATTTGCAAATAGTTGTTAAAATGTATTTAATTGGCTAGACGTGGTGGCTCACGCCTGTCATCCCAGCACTTTGTGAGGCTAAGGCAGGAGGATCCCTTGAGCCCAGGAGTTAAGAGACTAGTCTGGGCAACATGGCAGAACCCTATCTCTACAAAAAAACTACAAAAATTAGCTGGGTGTGGTGGCATGTGCCCATAGTCCCAGCTACTCAGGAGGCTGAGGCGGGAGAATTGCTTGAGCCCAGGAGGTTGAAGCTGCAGTGAACCGTGATGGTGCCATTGCACTCAAGCCTGGGCAACAGAGTAAGACCCTGTTTCAGGAAAAAAAAAAAAAAAGTATTAAGTTATTAAATAAGAGTATCTTTTAAAACATGTATCATTCTCCAGCTATCTATCCAATCAAAATAAGGTTCTCAGGGAACAAAAACTATCTAAATTTGTTTTGAGGAGCAAAATGTAAGTGGACAGTTCTTTTTTTAGATCTGATCTACTGTGGTCGGAAGCTAAAAGATGACCAGACACTTGACTTCTATGGCATTCAACCTGGGTCCACCGTCCATGTTCTGCGAAAGTCCTGGCCCGAACCTGATCAGAAACCAGGTGAGTGAGGGTCAGCCCTTAAGCAGGCAGAGTTTCTGTAATATCTGCAAGGGAAAGGTCTGTGTGTTCTTGAGACACAAGCCTGGGTGGAACAAAGGGATGATTTACTGAGCTGATGATAAATGATATCTTTATTACTTATTGGATTAAACCATGCTGATAAACAGAGTCCAATTTTGACCTTCTTACTGCTGGTATCACTAATGGGAGATTTGTTTCTCCATTTTGTTTTTTGGTTTTTGTTTTTTTTTGAGACAGAGTCTCACTCTGTTGCCCAGGCTGGAGTGCAGTGGCACAGTCTTGATCTTGGCTCACTGCAGCCTCCACCTCCCGGGTTCAAGTGATTCTCATGCCTCAGCCTCCTGAGTAGCTGGGATTACAGACATGTGCCACTACGCCCAGCTAATTTTTTTATTTTTAGTAGAGACGGGGTGTCTCCATGTTGGTCAGCCTGGTCTCGAACTCCTGACCCAAGCCATCCGCCCCACCTCAGCCTCCCAAAGTACAGGCACCATTCCTGACTGTTTCTCCACTTTCTAAGTTTGTCATCCACTGTTTCCTAATGGGATAGTGAGTTTGTGTCTACTTAAACTCCTTTAAGTTAACAGTTTATTTTTCAGTGATACAAAGTAAACTTTGTATCCTTTTGTTATTGTTGTTCTCATTAGGAAAAAACTGGAAACTTTTGGCACTTTCCTAATGCCCCAGTTTGTTCCCTTGTTAACAAATCTTCCTACAAACTGCCTCAGGTGGTGATTTGTTCAGTCAGCTAACTGCTCTTGCTATACTGGTAATTTATTTTCCTGAAGCTATTCAAAGAGTATTTAAATAGCTCTTGGAGAAAATATACAAAGCCTCGGATGCCTTTTTGGTTTATAAATAGAAGGTGCTTGGAATTCATGATTTAAATTTTGCATGTGTATTTTAAAAGCCTCCCCAAGAATAAAGCTAAGCTGTGTAAAAGAGATTAGCTTTGTTAAACTGGCAGGTTGACATCTTTTTATAATGTTCATGATTGCTGTGACTAGTTATCAGTTTGAAATTTACCCCCCTTTCAGTTCTAACCGTAAAAGACAAAAATGTCTTTCATACTCTGATGGGAAGTGAGAAAGAGGAACGGAGTTCCTGACATCCAGAGGTTGGCCTGGCACTCACAGCCAGGCCTTGGTGTCCTTTTGGGGAACATGAACAATTGTACAGATCCCCAATATCAGTCAAGGCCACTCTGAGACCACTATGGATTAAGACAAAAACAAGATCCCTATCATTGCTGAACAGAGACAAAAACATGAGCATTATCCAAATCACAAAAGTGACCAAGTATCTTTCTATCTCGGCTGATGAGAGTAATAGCTGCTTCTTTGCCAATTACAGCTTCCACCTTGCTCTAGTTTTCCTTCCTTCTAGGTAAGAGTTATTAAAATACTCAATTATAAAATCACTCCCACTGCCGAAAGCATCCTATCCGGAGTAAAACCTCACTTCTTTAAATTTTTCCACAAATCACTCAGACAAAGCCAAAATCGTGTAAGAAGTCTTTTCTGGCCGGGCTCAGCGGCTCATGCCTGTAATCCAGCACTTTGGGAGGCCGAGGCGGGCAGATCACCTGAGGTCGGGAGTTCGAGACAAGCCTGACCAACATGGAGAAACCCCGTCTCTACTTAAAATAAAAAATAAGCCGGGCATGGTGGTGCATGCCTGTAATCCCAGCTACTTGAGAGACTGAGGCAGGAGAATCAGTTGAACCCGGGAGGCAGAAGTTGCCATGAGCCGAGATCATGCCATTGTACTCCAGCCTGGGCAACAAGAGCGAAACTCTGTCTCAAAAAAAAAAAAAAACCAAGAAGTCCTTTCTAATATCCTCTTACTGAGACAGCCCATGGTTTCCTATGGTGTTCATTCTTCTCTCTGTACTGAGCAGTACGCCCAACTAGTTTAAATACAGATATGCCCCTCAGCTCTTTGGCTGGAGGGCATTAACAGAAGGAAAATAACATTTGTGGCTTCTGTGAGCCAGGTTTTTTCCCTTTTATACCTCATTTAATCATTACAGTGGCCCTGCAGGGTAGGTAACAGCATTAGCATCTTATGGAGGAAGAAAAGGGTTAGAAAGACATTTATTCAAGGTCAGCTACTTAGAAAGTGAATGCAAGAGCTGGGATATGGACCAGGGGTTTTCCTGGCTCAAGAGGAAAACCATTTCCACTGGGCTGGCTGCCTTCCACTTTCAAAGGATGAATTTAGCTCAGAGGTCTTACAGTGACAGCCATGACTCTTAGCTGAATACTGGCTTAAGATATTAAGAGTCCTTTTCCTCCCACCTTCTACCTGGAGGATTATTTTTGAAACAAATGACCTTTTTATTGGAAGGTTACAATAAACTCTTAGATCTGTGAAGAAACTGTCTTGTGACAGTGTTTTAGATATTTTCTCCTTGAGTGCTTTTCTTCACAAAGGAATCACATTTCGTGTTCTCCTACAGATTAGGGTCTGTAGGAGGAGAACCCATTGTTATCTGTCTTCCCAGCTGGATCCCTTTGGTGGTTCTCCATGGCAGGTTACAAATCCCTTCAGGACCTCACCTTATTAGCCTGCTGTTTGAGCTGGGATGTGTACCCCAAGCTCCAGCCACAAAGAATGACTTGCTGTTTGTTCAAAGCACCACATTCTTTTATTCTTCCATGCCTTTGCACATGTTCTCATTTAGGCTTGGAATACCTTCACCCCCCAGTAAATATCAGCTCTCTCTTTGATACCCATTTCAAATGGTCTCCTCTGGGAGGCAGCTCTCTGTCTTTACCCTCCGTCTCAGTGGTGGCTGTCTGCCTTTGTGTTCCTGGTGCCCTAGCTGGGATCCACATCTCTGTTGAGGTCCTCAGCGTGGCATTTTGTAATTGTGTGTTTGATGTAGTCTCATTTCTCCTACTGCCGTAAGAGTTCCTTGACGGCAGGGGTTCTTATTTTTCACATTCTAGTTCCTTGTCCAAAGTCAGGCATGGAGTAAATGCTTAGTACATGTTTGTTGAATGAATAAATTAGGTAATTTACTTACGGTGACTATTTTTCAAAAGACAGCCTCATGATCAGGACTGTCGATAAGGATGTGGCTGCCACACTGAACCCCAGGGGTGCTATTGACCTTGCTTTGGGAGTGGTGCCCCTGGAGTAGGGCAGTACACAGTCAGTACAGTCACAAGTAGTGGTCCTTCATGAGGATAACCATACTTTAAAAAGTGTGACCCAGGGCGGGGCATGGTGGCTCATGCCTGTAATCCTAGCACTTTGGGAGGCCGAGGCACATGGATCACTTGAGGTCAGGAGTTTGAGACCAGTCTGACCAATATGGTGAAACCCCGTGTCTACTAAAAATACAAAAATTATCCAAGAGTGGATAATTGCACACCTGTAATCCCAGCTACTCGGGAGGCTGAGGCACGAGAGTCGCTTCAACCAGGGAGGTGGAGGTTGCAGTGAGCCGAGACTGCGCCACTGCACTCCGGCCTGGGCAAGAGATGAGACTGTGTCTGAAAAACAAAGGCAAAAACACCAACAACCAAATGTTATTAGTCTGGAATTCCTGCAGTGGGATGTTGATCAGAGCACTGTTTTTCATGTGGTAAGATTCTCCTCTGCCACAACTTGAATTTGTTTGTTTTATCTGTGGAAGATGCTTACAAGAGAACGTAAAGATGCTTACTAGCAGTTTTCACATCCGTGGCACAAATGGGTTTTTCTGAGTGGGCACTCACATTCTTAAGGGGTAATGAGGGAAGGGAATGCACAGACCAGGCTGCTCCTTGGCACATTGAAATGATGTTACCATGTCTGTGGAAGAGACAGGGCCTGTGCTGTAGGGTAACTCTGAGTGTCTTGTCCGCCAGAACCTGTGGACAAAGTGGCTGCCATGAGAGAGTTCCGGGTGCTGCACACTGCCCTGCACAGCAGCTCCTCTTACAGGGAAGCGGTGAGTGTGTGCCACGGCCCCCAGCCAGGACTGTAGGAGAGGGTGTGAACGCTGGCTGGCGAGTGGTGTGGAGTGGGAGCTGGAAGCCTGTTTCCATGACAACCAAGAGTTCCTTGGGGAGTTTTTGCCATGTCTGTGGGCCTCAGTGGAGCCCTGTCTTTCCCCAAAGAGCCTGTCTCAGTCAGGCATTGCTGATTCCCTCTAATGATAACCATACAACCTGCCCGTACGGTGACAGCCAAAAGATCCACATACTGTTTCTGCTGGACCTTGTTCTTTGACTTTGGCTGAACTGCCTGCTTATTGCCCCTTGACCTAGTTGTCCTTACTGGGGAAGTGGGCTGATGTCTCTCTGTAGGAGAGTTGAGAGGCAAAATTAGTACAGCTGTGAACTTAGCAATATATACAAATATGAAATAGTAATTGTACAGAGATTGAAAAGGACTTTTGGAACCTAGAGAAACCTTTGTTACTGGGCTTGTAATGAGAGCTTTTATTTTGGAAGCATTAAACTGTAGGTGGGGAAAAGGAGCACAGAGATTTGAAGGTTTACTGTGGTCTTGCCTTTTTTTTTTCTTTTTTTTTTTTTTTTTAATTGTTTGTTTCCCCTCCAGTAAGCTACGATCTTAGACCAAAAAGAGGTTCATCTGTTTCCGGGGCTATTGTTCCATTGTGGTGATGTACATGCAAGCACTTAAAGGGAGGAAGTCCTCAGCACAATGTGGGCATTTGATGAGTGCATTGAGTTGGTTGGAGTGCTCAGCCCTCCCCATTTCTCCTGCAGGTCTTTAAGATGCTCAGCAATAAGGAATCTCTGGATCAGATCATTGTGGCCACCCCAGGCCTCAGCAGTGACCCCATTGCTCTTGGTAAGTGCAGGACTGAATTTGCGGAAATAGGAGTTGTCGGAAAAGAAGAAAACAGGAGAAGACAGTTCTTCTAAAGAGACTTAGACTATCTTTTGAAGAATGACTGGTCTTGTGGGAAGAGGGAGAATAATCAAGGTGTGTCTGATATACCCAGTGCTTTAAGAGCTCTCAGTCCCACAGAGAGATAATGGCCTAACTAACATCGTAATTAAGGGTATGAGGATGCCAAATGAGGACAGCAGTTAGCCCATATCACAGCAATCAGGGAAGGCGTCTTGCACACCTTGAGTAAGGGAGGAGCCCAGAGATACGGGAGAAAGAGACAGGTGTGTTGGTAGCCAGTCTGTGATGTGACTGAAGTGCAGGGGGAGGTGGAGAGCTGGGGACCATCCTCCCTAGAGCAAGATCGAGAGTACCTGAATTATGTTGCTTGGTGCTTTGTTTCCTCTACTTCTGATGAAGATTGGCTTGTTGTCCTGTGTCCCTGTTGAGCTGGTTGCTCTGAGACACAAAGCCTCTTCTCCCTCGTGGATCTGACTGATTTCCTTTCCCTGAGGTGAGCTCTGCTCTTTTTCAGGGGTTCTCCAGGACAAGGACCTCTTCTCTGTCTTCGCTGATCCCAATATGCTTGATACGTAAGTGTACCTGTCCTATTAGAGGGTACCTTCTCTCTCCTCATGTGCTAATTGTCACCCTGCAGTCTGCTCTGGGAGCCCATCCATGGTCTGTCACCAAGTCTACCCTGTAAATATGTCAGGAGGTGAGAAAGAGCAAAGCCCAAGAGCAGGGCTTTTGTCAAGAGTGTTGGGAGGAAGCAGGATTCTGAGGGAAAGGATCTTGCCTGCCAGGCTCAGTTTAGGTTTCGTTTGGTAGAAATTAGGGAGCTTTCCAAGGATTTTAAACTGGTGAAAGGAGAAGCAGGTGTACAGATCCATAAAGTGTCAAAGCTGGAAAGGACATGTCCTCATTTTGCAAGTGAAGAAAACAGCCCCACCCTGGGAAGAGAAGGGACCTGTCCAGGGTTGCCTGATGTAGTAGTGGTGCCTAGACCAGAGGCTCCTCATGTGCTCAGGCCAGAACCCTGAGCCTCCCAGGCTGCACCTTTCCCATCATGCCTTGCCTACGGAGAGGGTGAAGAATCTGCAGTGGACCCAGGAATTGAAGGCCTTGCTCCCGTTGCTGGGGGCAGATCAGCAGGAGGATAAATCTTCCTGGCGGAAGATGCTGGAGACCGAGGAATTTGAGGGCAGGCACAGGTGGCTGCATTGTTGTGAGAGGGCACCCAGAACTCTTGTCATGGTCGAGGGTGCTCTTTTGGAGTCACCCTTGGGTTTCTTCCTGCTTCTGTCCTAGGTTGGTGCCTGCTCACCCAGCCCTCGTCAATGCCATTGTCCTGGTTCTGCACTCGGTAGCAGGCAGTGCCCCAATGCCAGGGACTGACTCCTCTTCCCGGAGCATGCCCTCCAGCTCATACCGGGATATGCCAGGTGAGCCCCTGAATAGCGTAATATGGGCCCCTTAGGAGCCGGCAGTGGCCCAGGAATTTGCTTTACTCAGCAGCTATGTATAGCGTTGGCAGAGGGCGTTCCTTGGGAACTCTCGGTTTGAGTCAGGAAGTGCATCTGTCCTGTAATTTTCCAAGGGGAGAGATGAAAATATGAATTTGGAGAGTAACTTGAGCTGAGATTCTGGAGCTGCGCCTGTGCCTTTCTGTTCTTCCTCCTGAAATCTGTTCGTCCTCCTCCAGGTGGCTTCCTGTTTGAAGGGCTCTCGGATGATGAGGACGACTTTCACCCAGTAAGTGGACTGCCTGCCTGCCTGCCATTTGGGGTAGATGGTGCTGGGAATGAGCTGCATCCTGGGACCTGGCACTCCCAAGGCTGGGAGGTGGACACAGGCCACTGAGGGGCCAAGACCATGTCATACTATTTCTGCTTTGGGATTCCTTTCTGAACCTGCGAGCTTAAGAGTTTCCCCAAGAACTATTCCTGGAGGTGGGTGAAGTTCATCTGGGAGTTTCATAGTACTGCTTGCCTGATTCTGAGTGTCTTCTTTCTCTAGAACACCAGGTCCACACCCTCTAGCAGTACCCCCAGCTCCCGCCCAGCCTCCCTGGGGTACAGTGGAGCTGCTGGGCCCCGGCCCATCACCCAGAGTGAGCTGGCCACCGCCCTGGCCCTGGCCAGCACTCCGGAGAGCAGCTCTCACACACCGACTCCTGGCACCCAGGTATGAAGACAGGGCCTGGAAGATCAAGGCTGGGTCCCCAAGGAACAAGCTCCCCAGCAGTAGAATAGATTTGCCTTTGCTGACCCTGGTGCTAGATCTAGTTTAAGCTGAACCCTGGACTCCTGGTGGAGATTTCTTACTGCAGCTTGAGTGACCTCCCCTTCACTTGCCTTGAGGACTCAGAGGTCTAGATTTTAACATGGTCCTGAGTAGTCCCTCCTATTAGTTCAGAAGACTCTCCCCTCACACAATATGCCCTTCCTCATCCCTGACAGGGAGCAGACACCACCAGCTTAAGCATTTCTGGGTGAAAAGTCACTTCAGCTTTCAAGGCCATCTCTCCCAGTGCTGGGGTCCTAGGGTGGGACAAGGCGCTCAGTGCAGAAAAGAATGGAACCTTTCCTGCCCACATAGAGAGCTTCTAGGTACCTTTGTTTGGTTGTCTCATGGCAGGTCTTTGTTGGGAGGCAGAAGTTGCGTACCTCAGGAGCACTATGGGGTGATATGACAACAGCAAGTATCTGCTATAAGATTGAGATGGCTCTGAGGGTGGCACTGACCACTGATTTGTCTCTAGGGCCATTCCTCAGGGACCTCACCAATGTCCTCTGGTGTCCAGTCAGGGACGCCCATCACCAATGATCTCTTCAGCCAAGCCCTACAGCATGCCCTTCAGGCCTCTGGGCAGCCCAGCCTTCAGGTCAGTCTTCCCCACTTCCTGGTTTCCATGTGGCTTCCTTGTTATTTTGGATGCCCAGCCTTTTTTTGCTCTCTGGGGGTCCTTCACACCTGGCATGCTTCGTTCTGGGAATAGCTGGAGCATGGCAGTGGGACAGGTACAGAGTGTTCCCAGCAAGGGCACACTCTCAGACCATTCACAGTGGTCACTATGGCTTCTCCTGCCCCTACTGACCATGGCTTGACTCCCTAGACCACCTGGCTTAGATAATCATGGCGATTTCATTCATTCATTCAGTGAGCATTGACTGAGCATATATATACTAGGCCGGAGTCCAGATGCTGGGCTAGAGGCAAGCTGGTTCTCATCCCTGCCATGGAGGGGCACCAGGCAGGTACTGAGCTGGGGAGCAACAAGGCAAGAAGCCCAGCTCCTTGAAGTAAGGGTCAGGCAAAACTTTTCTGAGGGAGGGGTATTTAAGCTGATTGTCAGAAGAATTAGAAGTTAGCTAACCAGGGAGGGGGTGTTTGAGGTAGGAAGGGGATGATTTCCAGGTGAAGACAGCTACCTGTTTGTGCACGTGTGGAGGTATGTGTGATGTACTCAAAACTACGAGGCTAGGATGCAGTGTCCAGTGTAGAAGATCCGCAGATGGGGCCAGAGAAAGAGAGCAGGAACCTACATGTGAGGGGCTTGAATGCCAACCTGAGGAGAATAAACTTGATGACTTGATGTAGTAGTCACCAGGGATCCCTGGGAGGCATTGATTGATTGATTGATTGATTGAGACAGGGTCTCACTCTGTCACCCAGGGTGGAGTACAGTGGTGTGATCACAACTCACTGCAGCCTCAACTTCCTGGGCTTAGGTGATCCTCCCACCTCAGCCTCCTGGGTAGCTGGGACTACAGGTATGCACCACCATGCCTGGCTAGTTTTTTGTACTTTTTGTAGAGATGGGGGTCTCCCTATGTTGCCCAGCCTCGTCTTGAACTCTTGGGCTCAAGTGATTCACCCACCTTAGCCTCCCAGAGTGCTAGATTACAGGTGTGAGCCACCACACCCGGCTCATGGGAGGCTTTAAGGAGGGGAAAGGTCACCCTAGCAGCTAAGGGGCAGACCTGAGGGGCCAGCATTGTAGTTCACAGCTCCATGCATGAGCTGTTTGCTTCACATCTCTTTTCCTCTATTCCACATAGTAAGCCAATGGGTAGAGCATCATTCCTGGAACTTGTCTGGGGTCAAAAGGCCATGAAGTTGTAACGATAGCGTTCAAGCCTGTGTGGTTTTCAGTGTTCCATGTAGTCCTTGTGAACAGTAAGGGAACAGGAGGAGGATGTGTGAATGACTTGTCTTCTCCATTTTTGCATCTCCCCTGTTGCTAGATGCCTGTTTACTTTATTCCTTAGCTCAGAAGCTTTCACTGGTTCCACCTGGCCTGTAAAATGAATTCAAATTGATTTGTGTGGATTTTTTTTAAGCCCTCCACATTCTCATTCCTGCCTGCCTCTTTGACTTTGCTTTTCTTCCCCTTTGCATTGCCTTCTTCCCACATGTGAACACATTGTTTTCCCTAAATTGTGCTCATCCCTGCTGTCATGAGATAGAGATATTAATGAAGCTGTGAAAGTACTAGAAGAAAATATGGGTGAATTTCTTCAAATCCTTATAGTAGGAAAGGGCTTTCTTGGCCGAAACTCAGTATCCAGGAGCCATTAAATAAAAGTTCTGCATTTTGAGTTTGTAAAAGCGAAAAATTTAAAACATCTCTTATACTCCACAAATAGATATACCTACTATATACCACAAAAATTTAAGACTTTTTAAAAAAGGTGAACATTTCTGCATGGCAAACCAAACCAAACAAAAAAGCAAAGCAAAGTCCGAAGGCTAACAACAAACTGGGAAAAAAATCTGTAACACTCATCACATAAAGAGCAAAATCTCGCTGATGTGTGTGTACACACAGCAAGAGAAAGAAAGTAATTTAGCCTCTTGGAATTCAGACAGTGAATAATTTGTACATTCTCTTTTGATCCTTATGCCAAGAATTTCCTTTTTTTATTGTAAAACTTTGGATTTGTTCTCTTAACCCTCAAGCCTATCTTTTAGTCTTCCTAGAAGTACCGTGTTCTGTGGAACTCAGCATCAACAGCTTTGCTGAGGACTCCCCCATCTTCCTTTCCTTCCCCGGAAAGCACAGACCTAAGTGAGTCTTCCATGGATCCCAGCTAACAGCTTCTGCCCGTTCCTATTTTTCCACAGAGCCAGTGGCAGCCCCAGCTACAGCAGCTACGTGACATGGGCATCCAGGACGATGAGCTGAGCCTGCGGGCCCTGCAGGCCACCGGTGGGGACATCCAAGCAGCCCTGGAGCTCATCTTTGCTGGAGGAGCCCCATGAACTCCCTGCTTTCCCTGAACCCCCAGCAAGTTGCAGAGGCTGCTGCCCGTGGGAGGCACTCATGAAGGTGCCTCCATCTCTCCCTCCCCCAATATACCTATCTGATGGTCAACTCTCCTGCTTTGTCCAGTTCTTGACCTTTCTGGCTGATCTGAGTTGGTGGAGGCAGTGGGGCAAACAAGGTGTACTGGTCTTGATGCTGTGGCCTCGGAGCAGGGCTGGCCCCTGGTTCTGGGCCCTGGATGAAGGATTTTAGATCCCACATCATGGGATGCTGTGAGATACCCATGTTCACTTCTGGGAGAAGTTTCTAGCCGTAGCCCCCAGACTCTGGGGCTTTGGAGTTTGGCAGCCTCAGGATGTGCCAAAGGCTGGGCAGGGCTGCGACCCAATCTTCAGGGTGGCTGCTGGATTACAGCTGTGCCCAGAAGAGGCTTATGCTTCCGAGATGTCCAGTCTAGGGAGTGGCTGGGTGTACTTTCATGGGAAGCAAACGGAGGCAGCTTGCCTTCCACATTTCTCTCTCTCTCAATGGCTTCCAAAGATTTCCTTGTCCACCCCACCAGCCTACTCTCACCAAGCATCTTTTTTTTTTTTTTTTGAGACGGAGTCTCGCTCTGTTGCCCAGGCTGGAGTGCAGTGGCGCGATCTCGGCTCACTGCAAGCTCCTCCTCCCGGGTTCCCGCCATTCTCCTGCCTCAGCCTCCCAAGTAGCTGGGACTACAGGCGCTGCCACCTCACCCGGTTAGTTTTTTGTATTTTTTAGTAGAGACAGGGTTTCACTATGTTAGCCAGGATGGTCTCTATCTCCTGACCTCGTGATCTCCCAAAGTGCTGGGATTACAGGCATGAGCCACCGCGCCCGGCCACCAAGCATTTTTTGATGCTTGTTCTGTAATGATGCCAGAATCCGGGCCTCAGAGCTTTGCCAGGAGGCAGGGCGCTCCTTGTCCTGAAGGCATAAATACAAGAGCAGTTAAATAGCAATACTAAAGAACAACACCAACATGAATAGGGCTCAGCTTTAATATTGAAGAGAGGGCACCAACCCCCAAGCTGCTGCTCCATCTGCCTGTGCTCACTCACGTTCCCCTTGGCATGGTGTTCCCTGTGACGTTCCCTGCGGCATCACAGACAGGTCCAAGTTGAGAAAGTGGGTTTTAAGTGCTTTGAATACTTCGTTGGGAAAAAACTTCTTCCCCTCAGATGGTGTTTTGATTCATTTGGGAATAACATGGGTGGAAAGGGGCTCAGAGGTCTGTTCCTGCCCTCTGCCTTGGCAGACGTTTCATCTCCACCATTCCCAGTCATGGTGGTTTGGTTTCTGCTTGTCTCCTCCAGGAACAAAAGATTTACCATTTACAGCCTATTCTGTCCTTTAACTATTTGCCAGGGCATTACCCCTTGGTCCCCTCTGCCCTAAGGAACCACTCGGAACAAGCCCGCTTTCTCTTCTACCTTAGCGGGGCTTTAATTACTTACAGAATGCCATGGTGGGTCATTGACTTGCCCCTTTGACCTGTCCTGGTTTTGGTTCCCAGCACATCCTGTTCATTTTTCTGGATGACCTTCAGTATATCAGTGATACTCTTAACGTCCAGATATGGCCTGAACAGCATGTTATTCTTTGCCTCTTTCAGAAAATTTGAGAAGTCTGTCTATTTGCATTGACAGAAAAGATTCAGAACTGGCCTTCTCAGTGCTAGGCTTCTGTGTGCCTCAGTGGTCTGCCTGGAGCCCAGCTGCCTACTTGTGGTTGAGAGCAAAGACCAGGAAGCTCTGTCTTTGAACACAATGTCTCTTGCTTGTTTGTGGTGGAAACAAAGGCCAGTCCCATCCTCATGGGTCTGTCTTGGTCAAATGGGGCTGACACAGCCCTTCTTGTGCCCATGATACAGCCTGCCCAGAGCTGGTTTCCATTCTGTGGCAGCTCTCACCCTGCCTCTGAGGACTGCCTTCAAAGATGCTGGGGTTCCTTAACTCCCCCACCCCATTATGCTGCAGAACATTTGGGTCACCCTGCCCTATCCCTTGGACCAACCCCCAATACCAGTTCCCAGAACAGAGCCATCCCCATGGTTTCCCTTTCCCTTCTTTGTTGGCTTTTTCCTCCAGGGGCTTGGCAAGTTGGCTTTGCTTCCTGTGGCCATGTGTCGAGTAGTCTATGTTGAGTCTGATAAGTGCCCCCACTGAGCCTGGGGCTTTCCATGAGCCAAGGACTCTTTCCTCACCATTGTCCCTTTCATAGTTTCTTTTTCTTTTTATTATTTAAAAAAATTTTTTTTTTTTTTTTTTTTTTTTTTGAGACAGAGTCTCGCTCTGTCGCCCAGGCTGGAGTTGAGTGACACGATTTCAGCTCACTGCAACCTCTGCCTCCTGGGCTCCTGCCTCAGCTTCCCAAGTAGCTGGGACTATAGGTGCGTGCCATCACAGCCGGCTAATTTATGTATTTTTAGTAGAGATGAGGTTTCGCCATGTTGGCCAGTCTGGTTTCAAACTCCTAACTTCAAATGATCCATCCGTCTCGGCCTCCTAAAGTGTTGAGATTACAGGCATGAGCCACCGCACCCGGCCGCCTTTTATCCTTTCAAAAACCATTGACTGAGCCTCCACTCTGTGCCAGATAAACATGATGGTATCTTTGCTCTGACAATGCTGTGTTGTTGGTAAGATGGACAAACAGATGATTACATTAAAGCCTAATGAGAACTGGGTGAGACAAGTCTAGGGGCTGTGGTGCTCACAGGAAGGGGGGCTAACGTGGGCTGGGGTGGGAGTGTGAGGATGAGAGAAAGCTTCATGGAGAAAGTGGCACTACACTGAGACCTGAAGGGTAAGGGAGAATTGGGCAGGAAGGTATATGTACTGAGGGGGCTGGGAGTGGGGAGCAAAGCTGGCTTCTGTAGCCCTGTCCGTCAGGGTGGCTTGCAAGGCAAGTGGGTGGGTAGAGGCTAGATCATTTGAAGGCATGTAAGGAGTTTAGACTTAACCCTGGACAATGGGAGTCACAGAATGGCAATCAGGGGAGAGAGTCCAATGTGTATTTCAGAAAGGTCATTCTGGCTGCTGTGTGGTGAATATATTGGGAGTAGAAGGCTAAGGGAGGGCAGGCATGAGGAAGCTAGGGAGGAGGCTCTGGCAGTGATCCACTTAGAACTGCTGGTAGGCTGACCTGGCAGCGTGGCAGTGGGGAAGGAGAGGAGGAGGTAGAGAGGCTTTAGGAGTTAGAATTGGTATCAGATCTTTGGGAAAGGCAAGTATACTGTTGTCTCCACTGAACAGGTGGGGACACCAAGGTTCCAAGGGTTGAAATCATCTGCCCACAGTCTCATGGGCAGGAAGTGGACAAGTGGTCCCAGAAACTCAGGTCTGTCTTACTCCAGAGCTGGCGCCCTTCTTCCCACTGCCTTTGGCCTCTTAAGTGTGGAGGAATGGGAGATCATGAGGGCTTAGATCCAGCTGAGGAGCTAGGGCTTTATCCTGAGGGCAAAGAGCACCCCTGAGACAGCTTCAGGCAGGGCCGTGGGGGACCAGATCTGTGTGTGAGATAATCTGACAGCTGTGTGGAGGCTGGATTTGTGGGAGGTGAGACTGGGGGTAGGCAACCAGCTAGGAGGCTGGCTGGATCCTCCAGATGGGACACGGAGGGAGCCTCAACTGGAACTGCTGCAGGGGAGCTGGGTGGAGGGGAGCTGCTAGGTGTGAAGGACAGACTAGCTCTGGGGGCTGAAAGTGGGAAGGGAGGCAGGATGTGAGCGGGCGGATGGTGGTGCAGCAGTAAGAATAAGGGACTGGGGTGACAATTTGGAATGAGGTGCCATGGGACAGCCAGGTGGGGATGTGTATAATTAAAGACAGTTGGATGTCTTTGGGCTGAGGTAGTGATCAGGAAGTTCTAAGTTGAACACTGGGCCTGTGTCATGTGAGAAGGCAATTAAGCTTTTCAGAGAAAGGTAGAGGAAAAGGGATACCCACTAAGGAGTTCAGCTTTATGGGAAATGGTGACTGATAGATGTGAGGCATGGAACGGGGGCAGGATCTGCTGCTTCTGGGAAGATGAGAGCAGGAGTCAGCAAAGCTGAGGGAGTGGAAGGAACTGGACAAAGAGGGCATGCTCAGTGGGGTCAGATGCCACAGACAAACCTAGCAACAGAAGGGCTGACCTTGGACTTGTTGACTTGTGCCATGGTGACCTTGGGGAGACATTCCAATGGAACCGGAGCCAGATAGCAGGGATTGAGGACTGAACAGGTGAGGGGCAGTGGATGCAGAGAGGGCAGGGGACCTTGCTGGTGAGGGAGAGAATAGTAGTTAGAGGAGAGATGGGATTGAGTGTGAGTTTTTGCAGTTCAGCAGAGGTGAAGTTGGAAGTGATCACAAGAACTTTTCTAGGAAGCTGACGGAAAAAAAGGAAAAGACCCCGAAATAGAATATGCAAATATGTAGAGATGGGTGAGTTTTCTAACAGATCCGTTCTCCTGATATAACTCAAATTTGGCTGGGCTGGTATGGGCTGGGCTGGCACAGCTTGCTGGGCACATGGGCCCCAGATCTGCTCCTCGCCTCAGCCCCATCTGGCCTGGGCCCCAGACCAAGCTCTCAGAGCCCTACCCTGAGGTGGCTTCTTGTTGCTGTTGCCACAGACTTTGGCAGTGGGTGTTTGGTTGAGGATGTTGGGGAGTTTATTCAGGCCTCCCTCTTTGTGCTTACCCAGCCTCTCCAGCAGGTGGAGTCCCCTCTGGCCCTGGGCTGAGTTCAGGTCAGTTCAACTGTGCCACTTGTTCCCCTGGGCCTGGGCCTGTCTCGCTCTCATAGGCCCTGAGATTGCTGGGAATAGAATTCAACTTCTATGCTTGAAATGCTTTCGTGGCAACCCAGGCACTGGCCTATTCTATCTTGGCAAAACTAGCTAATGTTAATAGCACACTGCACTGCACAGTAGTACTTATTTATCAAGCATCCTCTCTGTGCCAGGCATTGAGCTAGGCACTCACATGTGCCATCTTAGTTAATCCTCATAGTGACTCTGAAAATAGATATTATTAGCCCTATGTACAAATGAGTGCTTCCTATAGGCTGAGGAAATGGCCTTTCTAGGGGTTGGGTGGGATTGTGTC